AACCCTTCCAAGCGCACGCTCGCTGCTCCCCTTTCCACACTTCCCATGCGTTCACATGAGGAGATGCAGCTTGGTCTCCCCTGAGCCCTTGTTCCTCAGCACATGAGGATGGAAACCCGCAGCTAATCCCCAAAGCTGCTCTTTCCATCGGCAAACCGCAGCTCCCGGGGTTCGCCCTCCAGGAAAGGGGAGCGGGACTCCCCCGTCAGCCAGAGGCAGCTTTGTCCCCTCGCGCCGGCTCCGCTGGCGCCAGCGGCTCCCGCTCCCCATCCCACGTCCAGGAGGTCCCGTGCCCACGGGCTCGGCAGCCTTCCTGCTCTTACACACTCCTGCCACTGTGCAATTTTCTGCGCATGCTCACAGATGATTTTGGTTCAATCTTTTCTCCAAAATTCCTTCTTGTACCCATGGTCCAGTTACCTTTTTGAACACCTATTTTGCAGAATATTTCTTCTGTGAAAACTACGCATTTCATTCCAATATTCCAATGCTTCAACATATTACAAGATACTGCATAAATATATAAAAGCTAAAGAACAGATCGGGTCCTTCACAGTCTCATAGTCCTGAGGAACTTCAGATGAGAAATCTACTGCAAAGGATACTTCACATGTTAAAATGGCGAGCGATAACTGAGGCTAAATGTTAATACTACCATACAGACACTTTAAGAGACACGGAAAGAAGTATTTATGACCTTTCTCTCCAGTTCCTGTAAAACAAGACTTCCAGCAAGACAGGCGACTGATATATAAACTAGAAAAAGGGGAAAAGAAATCTCTAGGGTGAGATGGAAGTGTGCTATGAAAGACTGGAGAGATCTTCATAAATTGCCTGCGGTTTCCAAGTTTGAACTGCATCACATCTGCATGCTCCAAACAAGCTGAGGTTTACCTATTCCTCAGGTTGAACAGCTTGATTACATATGGCTATTTCAATACATACGCAATTTCATACCTTAAATATCTCCTGTGACTGTACACTCCCACTAAAGAGAAATCCTTCATAGAAAATAAATGGTGAGAAATCCAAACGCTTTGCTGGCCAACGGCGTCACACTCCTAAAGACCTGAATTCATGCGGTTTGTGATTCACTCTAGAAATTAATCTCAACTAAACTCCCCATCCCATTTTTTGTTAAAGCAAGTTACATAAGATAAATAAATTCTGCATCAAGTCCGAGAGTACTATTAGATATTAAATTGTCTCCAGTTACATAACACGGGAGAAAAGAGCTTACCCGATTTGCTGAGCCCTGGGCTCATCCCCAGCCGTCCCCGTCCGCCTCCGCCGCTGGGAGGGCGGCTGCGCCCGGGAAAGGAGGCAGGAGAGCACGAGGGGCTGCACGAGGGAGCCGGGAGCGGCTCCTGGGGTCGCCTATGGCTCTGCGTGTCACTTGGAGAGGGACGCGGACGTCTCCCCGTTCCTCGCCCGGAGAGAGGCCTGTGAGCGTTTCTGAACCCGCCGCCCGTAGGCAACG